ATCATCTAATGGGCCGCCTCCAAAATCGCGGGTCATCAATGGCGTTTGCCTCAACGGTTTTGTCTCCCTCGCTGTTGTTTAACCGAATATTCAATTGTTCGACAAATATCGGGTCCCACCGACTATATCCAGACAACAATTCCATCTCCCCGGAGTGGCCCATGTTGATCATTATAACATCTAGTTCATCGTCACCAGAAGACGCCCAGGATACACTCATGATGTCGAGGAAAAAAAGAGAGGGGTCGTAGTGAATAAACGAAATAAAAAAGAAAAAAGGGAATTCTTACCACAGGAAGTAATTCACAGATCTGGGGTTCTTTGATTACGGTTGACAGACGATTAATTTGCAAAGAAAACAAAGGAGTCGATTGCAAGAAGAAGATGAATGTAAAGTGGATCTCAAGAGAAGACTTCCTATTTATACTAAACCCTAAATTTAGTAGCGACTGTTGGAAACCAAAAGAAATAGGGGCGCGTGGGCCGAACGTTCTTAATTCGTGAGTCGACACAACTCTTGGGAATCACGCCTATCACCAACGGTTACGTGGCCTAATAAAAAAGACCGTTACCCCTATCAGTAAACGTTGCAATTAATTTTAATGAATTGCACCGTTTCAACTCTCAGTATTATTTCTACCAAGTGTGAGGATATCGGAAAACAGTTGCAAAACCGACACGTCTCCCTTGCCAAAGATTAAGTGGTTATCAAAGAATTTTCAGCATCACTGCCCGTCTTTTCCAAGACAGCCATTAATGCTGAGGGCCACCTTGTTGACATCATTTTCAGTAAACCGAATTAAGTGACACTGACCACGTGATTATGTTCAGTAGAAGGACGATTGAAGTCGTACAAGTAGATAATGTCCGTATGGATCTTAAGGTTCTGACACCAATTTCAAGACAATCACTTGTCGGGTAAAAATTCATCAAGAACCGACATCGTCGTCGATTGACCGATATCTCATGTCGGTTATGACATGTCGGTTACTACACGTCGGATACGACATATCGGTTATAACTACGCGAGCCGATATCTATGACTTGTTAAACCGACACCAAGAGGCGGTGCCAACTCAGCACAACTCATCATTGCACCTGGCCAAGTGGCATGTTACTAAGATGAATGGCAATCAGCCGCCGTTGACTATTCTTGTGTAATGATTACATATTAGATAAATATTGTAAATAAATATAAAAGGAGAAAACAGTTCTCCAATCAGTCACGACACGCATACAATAATATTCAGAAAAATTCTATCTCCTTTTGCTGTTCATATAAGCCTTTATTGATTTATCTTAAGCTTACTATAAATCCCTGTCGATTATATAGTTGTTAATTTTCGTTTGACAACACTATTGAAGGTAGGAAATCTAGTTTGAGGCATCTTCATATGTGGGGGTGTCAAGCAGAAGTAAAAGTATATAATCCACATGAAAAGAAACTTAAACCTAGGACAACCTGTGGTTGCCCTAACCATAATATGAGAACAGTTGATTCCGACAATGCTCAATTCATTAAAAGTGATCAAATTAGTGGGAGTTTGGAACCTCAAAGTTTGGATGTCAAAGAAACTCGGGTTGAACAGTCTAAACCCGAGAGTCCATCAATGGTTGTTATTCTTTTAGTTACAGTACCATCATGTAGCTTAGATGAATAACAAAATGATCCTAACTCACTTGATAATGAATCATTACAAACAATCAAGAAATTATAGAACAACCTTTGGTTGATGAATCACAAGCCATGAAAAGTAAAAATTTTGGAAAAGTTTATCAATACCATGAAAGAATAATTACAGTCAATGGATGACAATAAAGTTTGAATTTAGTAGAATTACCTGAAGGGTATAAAAGAGTTGTGTGTAAATGGGTTTTTCAAAACCAAACATGACTCTAAAGGTAATATCGAAAGGTATAAAGCTTGACTTGAATGTTACGTCCAAAAGGAAGGCATTAACTTCAAGGAAACATTCTCTCTCGTTTTTAAGAATGATTTCTTGAGAATTGTAATGGTGATGGTGGCTATGTATCATCTTGAGCTTTATCAAATGGACATAAAGATCACTTTCGAGATGATAAACTTAAAAAGATATCTACATGAACTAATTAAAAGTTTTTGAGATCACAAGAAATGAAATGTTAGTGTGTAAGTTGAATAGATCGATATATTGACATAAACAAGTCTCTCGTCAATGGTATCTTAAGTTTAATGATATCATCACTGCTTATGGTTTTGTAGAGAATACCGTAGATCGGTGTATCTACATTATGGTCAGTGGGAGTAGATTTGTTATTTAAGTTCCGTATGCCGATGACATATTTATAGTTGCTAATAATATGGACATGTTGCACGAAGTAAAGTATTATCTCTCTAAAAAGTTGTGAAATAAAGGATGTGGATGAAACGTCCTTGCTAATTTGAATAGAAATATTATGGAATAGATCACAAGGAATAAAAGTTTAGGGAGATGCTACAATCCCGTTACGGAACCATTCCGTCGGAATTTCTAACCGTTAGATCAACTTTCCCTGACGGTTACATGATGATCTAACGGTTACAAACTCAACGGAATGGTTCCATTACGGGACTGTAACATTTCCCAAAAGTTTATCTTATAAAAGTTTTATTTGAGAGATAATGAATGGTTGTTCCGTATAATTCTAAATCATAAAAGGGGTACATTTAGTCTAAATCAAATGTCCGAAAAGGTGAAATGGAAAAAGTGATGGAGAAAATTCCTTAGATATAAAAGATTAGGAGTCTTAAGTGAGACGAACCTGTAATAGGTTTGTAACATATTTGTTGCTGGTTCGTTAAGCAAATATGAAAGTAATCCCTGAATGATTATTTAAATGCTGCATTGAAAATTCTAAGATATTTACAAGGCATTAAAGAACGCATGCTAACTTAAAGAATATCCAAATTATTTGTTATAATTGGATATTCGGATTCAAACTTTTGCTCATAATATCAAAAGGAGCAAGATTATGGAAAAGTGGAACAAAGTCCATCATCGTGACTTCCACGATTAAGTTTGAGTTTGTGGTATGCTTTGAGGCCACAAGTCAAAATTTAGGGCTACTATGCTTTATCTTAGGACTTGAAAATGTCGACATCTTGTCCAAGACTCTAAGAATTATTGTAGTTTTGTAGCAATATTATTTCAAGGAATGACAAGTATTCAAAGGGTGTGAATCACATAAAATTTAAATACTTGGTCGTAAAAGTAGAAGTGAAGAAATAAAGTGTCATTTGTGCATTTTAGTACTAATTTCATGAAAGTTGATCCATTAAAAGGTTATTCCCTATAGCCTTTGCAAGGCATATAAAAAAATTGGGATTAACGAATGGGGCCTTATTGGACTGATCGGTACTGAATGAAATTGCTCAATTAACAGTTTTGACACTTATTGAATTCGATTAAAGATACTATCATTATGGAATTTTGATTTTATAGTATATACATAAAAGTTGGATGGCTTACGGTTATGGTACGAATGGTTTGTTCTATATAAAAGTAAAGTTGAATTAGAAATGATTGTGGTACATGCTTGATCATGTCGCTCGAAGACTTGTGACCGCCATGACTCGGTTAATTTCTATTTTAATTTTAAACTTATAGATATATGTATTCAATCATAAGTTTGATGAAAGATGCGCGCTTAAAGTAGTTCTTTTGGTTTCGACACTTATATGGACCAAGTGGGAGAATGTAATAATGTTTTATAGAGTAAACTATAATTTCAGTCCTGTATGTTTCACTACTTTAACTTTTTCGTCCTCTTCGAATTGCGTTTCTGATTTTCGTCATGTATGTTTGAAAAAAGGTTACACAAAGGTCCTTTTCATATATAAGGGACGAAATTGGAACACTTTTTTGCAAAACATAAAGGACTTTTTTGTTGCGCAAAGGACGTTTTTGTAACTTTTCTTCAAACATACGGGACAAAAATCAAAACACAATTCGAAGAGGACGAAAAAGTTAAAATAGTAAAACATACAGGACTAAAATTGTAATTTACTCTATTTTATATATTATTCAATTATTGTGGACCATATAATTAGTTAGACCTAATTGAATTAATAGTCAAACTTAATTAAGGTGAATATATATTTAATAGATTATTAATATTCTAATATTAAAGAGTCCAATTTGTGATGTTTGACTTGGGCAGTAAGTTAGGTTAGAACATGGAGAATGTTAGTAGGAATAAGATTGTAGGTCTTCTCCTATATATATTACTAGATGCCCCTCTCTCCCATCTCATACGAAATAAAAGTTCTCAACATCAAGGGCTTTATGGAAAGACGAGAGACGCAGGAGAGAGAAACAATTCATTGCCAAAGACAAATTCATTATGGAGATTGAAGGAAGAGGATCCATCATTGGAGAAGAGGATCGTATCTCATAGATCAAGAAAACATGGAAGAACTATAGCTGGATTCTTGTACGTTTCTGTGTGCAATTTAATTAATGCAACGATCCATATCATATTCTATGAATTCATAGAATTACATGCTTTGGGTTTATTCAATTCCGCCTAATAGTTATGAATATACCCGTTAAATTTCTTACATTTAAGCCGACAGCTATTTTAGCAACCCAGTTCGTGTAATCACATCCAGCTCTACCATAACCCTTGCTTTGTAAACAATAATCATTTTAATCTAAATCATATATATATATATATATATTATATGTAACCAGTGTAAATTAGTTATTTATTTGCCTCTGAAAATTTATTAAAACAAACCATTCTTGTCAATTTAAACCATTAAATGTACAAATTTCACATGAAATGGAACCCAACACATGCCTGGGAGAGAATAATTGGGCCACCTTGAGAATGAAACAGCTTCTCATCCTTCATCATTTGGACGATTTTCGTCGTAAATTTTTGCATTGCCATCTGAAAAAGCCCATTTTACATCAAATGATTGATTCTTCTACTGAGATAGATTCAAGCAAAAGTAAGAATGTGAAAAATTAGCAAACGCGCCTTGAAAGGTTCGTTGTCGGTTCGGAAGGAAATGCCCGGCACATACTTCAACCAAACAGGGAACCCTCTGAGACCCAAAACAGAACATAAATAAAGCATTAAAAAAAAGGCCATCTTGTTTTTTTTTTAGTTTTTGTTTTTTCAAAATAAAAAAAAAGAAAGGAATAAATGTATAATATTAATAATATCCTCACCCAAAATTCCATTCTGCGCACACATAAGGCCCAATGCGGAGAGTCATGAACAGCCCTGCTTGCTGGACCAACTTCACAAACCGCACTAAATCATATATGTCCTCAAAATTGTACTGGAAATTGAAGAAAAAAAAATGGGAATTATTATTGGGGAAAAAGGAAAAACAAACAAATAAATAAATTATTTTTTTTTCTAGAGTAAAAAAAAAGAAAAAAAAAACAATAAACTGTAATTTTTCTGGTGAGGGTTCATGGTCGAGTAGTTTATTTTTTTAAAAATAATAAAAAAAAAACGTGGACAAAAAAAAAAAATAAATATGTAGACAAAAATAAAAACGACCTATTCCAGCAATACGTTTTCTTAATAAAATCTTATTTAGAAAACGTATTCCAAGAATACGTCTTACATTTTTTTTTTTAATTTAAAAAAATATATCCTTAGAAAAAAGAAGAATAATTTATATAAAAATTAAGAAAGGATGAAACGTATGTAAAGAATACGTTTTCAGAAAACCTAAAATTCCCAAATTTTAGGGTTTTATAAAACGTACTCAAAGAATACGTTTTATGGAAGCCCTAAATTGGGCAAATTTAGGTTTTTGAAATACGTTTTTAGGAGCTTTTTCAAAATGCAATTTTTAAAAAATAAATTAATAGAAGACGTATTCAGCGAATACGTTTTACAAGTAAATATATTTAAAACGTATTCTCTAAATACGTTTTCAAAATAAATATAACCCGACAGATCCTTTCTTCTCCATTTCATTTGCGCGAGCAAATTACAACACCACACGAAGCAGAGAACGAGAGAAAGAGAAAGAGCTGAAAAAATTTTAGAAAAAAAAAAATCGATACCATCCTCACCTCGGCGTGAACCGACAACATCGACATGAGCCTCTTTTCCGGCTAATTAATTCGAACGAGGTATATTGGCTTATCGTAAATGTTATATTGTTTGGAATTGTTTGGAGATTGACAATTTGTAAAAAAATTGTTGAATGTGATGGTGTTTGAAGATTGAGAATTGGTAATTGCTTATCGATTATGGGTGTATGTTGAATTGTAGATTGAAATTTGTTTTAAATTATGGATTATGTTTTGGTTGGTCCTAGGGTTAGGGTTGGCTGAAATTAGGGTTAAAATTATGGGTTTCGATTTATTCGTAATAGTGGTGAATTCTATGTTATTTTTGGATTAAGGGTATTATATTTTGTAGGATTATTAGATTGGGAATATTTTATTTTATTTTGCTTTGTTTGTGTTGGAGTAAAAAAATTGGTTTGAAATTTTAAATTGTAAAAGGTTATTTGTTTTTTTGGGTGTTGGATTAAACATTATGTGTTGTTGTAGTTGTGAAGATTTTTTAAATAAGATTGTTGAAATTTTTTGCAACAGTACAAATGACGTTTTCTGGTCCATACATCGTTAATTTGTATTGGCGGTTTGCGAAGGATCGGTTGAGGGATTTTGCTTCATTGATAGATCGTCCGGATGGTTGAATTCTTATTAATGGTAAGATATCATGTCAAGAATTGGTATCGATGATTTATGATAATTATCGGTTTGGACAAGGTTGGAGAATTCAAGAGATTACATTAATGGTCCAATCCGATGGTTCGTGGACTACCACCGTACTCAATAATGACAATATTCTTCAGTGGATTTATTTCTTTCCTCCTATGTCCACTGTGTATTTGCATTTATCGTTTGAGGCAATTACACCAGTTTCACAGTTTGAGAATTTTACTCCTTTTTACGGGGGAGTGATTCATGGGGAGGGTACGTCGACTTCTCATCAACGTAATTTTGGAGAAGGGACAAGCTCCACAATGAGAGAATCGGCAAATGAGGTCCGGGAAGAAAGCGATGAAGATTTCATTCCCTGTGATGATGATTTCACAGACGAGACTTTAGAAACCGAATCTGATGGATCGGTAAATGAGGAGAGTGAACCCGAGTTCATTGAAGAAGAACACCCATTTCCTAGTGGTGGTCGGCACATATACTGCGAGATGGGTGAGTGGGATCCGTCCAGTATAGTTGCGAACGAGTATGCTCTTCCTAGCTTTAAGGGCAACAGTGAGACCATAGGTTTGGGTACTGTTTTTAGGAGCAAGGAAGAAGCACAATGGGGTATATTGCATTGGAACGTGGCTAGGTTGAGGGCGGTTCGTACGATCGATTCAAATAAGAAGTCATACAAAGTGGTCTGCAGATCTAATGAACATGAACCTTGTTTGTGGAAGGCTCGAGTGACTAAGAAACGGGCACATGAATTGTGGGAAGTAACTGAGTGGACTGACAGCCACAGTTGTATGCAACAGGTCGAGGGAAATGACCACAGAAACATAATTGCCCGTATGATTTCAAATCTTGTAATTAAAAATATTGAAAAGAAACTGGACTACGACGTTAAGATGATCCAGGCCGATGTGAAATAGTGTTGGAATGTCGATGTCACCTACAAGAAGGCATGGCACGGCAGAAAAATGGCCATCGATCATGTGTATGGCAGTTGGAATCGAACTTCGCAGAACTCCCTGAGTAAGTTCATGTGTTGTTTGTCTGTCAACATGTTTATTTTATTTATTTATAAAACTGTTTTGTAATGTGCAGGTTTTTTGGGGCGCTTCAAAGAGCGAATCCCGACACAGTTGTACAGTGGGAATGGCAGGGCGGGGACATGGCGCTTCAGTATCCAGACAGAGAATTTAAATTTGTATTCTGGGCATTTGGTTCGGCCATTCAAACCTTCCAACTATGCGCGCCGGTGATTAGCATCGATGGCACACATTTGCGCGGTTCGTACAAGGGAAAGTTGCTTGTTGCCATTGCACAGACAACGAATAAGCGGCTATTGCCAATCGCCTATGCCATTGTTGATGAGGAAAACAAGGATAGCTGGTCATTTTTCCTGACCAATCTGCGCCAATCTGTTGTCTTCGACCGAAGCATTTGTGTTCTCTCTGACAGGGATAACGGCATATTGAGTGCCATTGAGTCGTTGGTTGATTGGCGAGAATCGGCTGCATATCACCGGATTTGCCTTCGACACCTTCGAAGCAACGTGGTCACTAGGTTTAAGAGTAAGAAAGTTCAGGATTGGTGTTGGGAGTTGGGTTCACAGCTGTCGGAGCATAAGTTTCTTTCGACAAAAGCACGACTTAATGAACTTAATCCCGAGGCACACAACTACCTTTTCAATATTCCTTTGAACATGTGGACCCTGTATAAAGATAAAAGACACAAATGGGACACATTGGCGACCAATATGTCGGAGAGCTACAACAATGTCTTGAAAGGCGTTAGGTTCCTACCGTGCAGAGCTTTGGTAGAGGCTACATTGGAAAAACTCTGGCTTTGTTCGAACATGAACAAAAGAAGGCCACGAGATATAGGACTACCATTGCTACTCAGCTCTATGCCGCCTTTTTGGAGTTGGAGCAGACAGCCGCATCACATAGTGTGCAATGTCGGGACGCCGACAGGTCCATATTCAAGGTGACAACCGGTTTATGGCCTAGTGGGAGAGGGCAAAATAGGTATATGTTTTTTATTTTATTTTTGTCCATTCAAAATTTTGAAGTCAATTATATATAAAACGTTGTTTGTGTTAACAGTTATGCGGTTAATTACACCCAGCGTCGTTGCACTTGTCGGAAGTGGTAGACACACAGAAAGTCGTGCTCTCATGCATTAGTTGTATGTCAGAAAATTGGAGATGACCCAAAGTCGTTGTACAATTCGTACTTTTGGACGGATAACTAGGTAGCTCAATTTAGTAATTTCATTTTTGTTCCAATTGGTAATCTTGATACGTGGGTGCCAGTGGAATGGAATTTGGTACCACATTGGCAGAGAATCATTTTGAAGCCTGGACCTGGTCGCAAGCAAATGAGATGATATCGCATGCAAATGGATCGTCGTGCGCGTCGTAGAAATGCCAGGGATATGTGTTCTAGATGTGGTAGTCATGATCATTTTGTGGATCAGTGTTCGCCCTCACATCCTCCGACCAATAGAACTAGGTTGCGCGATGTATGGTGAAACAACTATTTATTTTCAAACCGATTGTATGATTTATTGGATTGTTTATTTTGATTTACTTGGATGGTTTGCATAACATATTGTTTGTGATGACGTAATTAAGGTCGTTGATTTCGTACCGTATTTGTTGTTTGTTTAGTTTGTTGTTTTTTTATTTAACATGTGTATGTTCTTTTGTGTTAAACAATTGATGAAGATAGTTATTTTTTTGTTCCAGTTTAAATCGTATTTACAAAATACAGTTTCATTTATAAAAAAAAAAATGTTCCAGTTTAAACCGTATTTACAAAATAAGATTTCATTTAAAAAAAATTATGATCCAGTTTAAACCGTATTTACAAAATACGGTTTCATTTAAAAAAAATTGTTCCAGTTTAAACCGTATTCGTGTGGTGCTTGCAGTTTTGTTGAAATAATTGCTTCTCACATAAGCATTTAGCTTAATAAGGAATTATCACCTATTCAATAGTGATTAATTCTTTTAACTATTTCTTGAATATCAACATCATTCTTATGTGGTTTGAAGCTACAAAAGTTTTAAACCGTTTAATACGATATTTTTGTCACTTTTCAATTTAACATAATTTTTATATTTGTTGTATGAATCAATTATAGATTCACCAACTTCTAGTGCTAAAGTTCACAAGTACTAATTTATCATGCCAGAAATTAGAACACTTAATAAATAAGACCAACTTATTTATTTTTTCGTTAACCAATAGATTACCATTTTTACAATAATTGTAAGATGACCTTTATTAAGGTCTACTTATGCTAAAAATACATCATATTTTGACATTACAAATTTGTTGATGATCACAAACTAATCTAAATTCGGCCTTACTTAATTAATGATCTGAAAACTAGATTCTTATGGATATCTTGGGCATGATGAACATCCACGATATCGAATATTAATTCACAAGCGTGGATGTATGGGCATGATGAACATCCACTAGATACCTTTTGAATCCTCCTAAGGTTGATGTGCCCAAGTCTAAGTTGCCAAAGATATGCTTCATCCACCAGCGAAGACTC